GATAAATCTCCTAAGCATAATGTTGAGTGAAGACGGCAAATTGCAGAAGGTACATACAGAGTGAAACTGTTTATATAAAGTACTACATATAGTTTGGGGATAGACACATGTAGTAAATGTATAAAGATATGCATGGAAAAAGATCAAGATCGAATCTGGTGAGTAGTGAAATAGTGAAAACCTCAGGATGGAGGTGTATACAAAGGGCTTTAATTGCAGTGGTAATGCCTTATTTCTTAAGCTAGGTAGTGGGCATATCCTTATTATATTATTCTCTATACATTTATGTATTTTTGAAATATTTAACACTTTTATAAAAGAGTAATTGCTCAATATTGGTGCATCCTATCACCTGGGGCTGAGGAAAATCTCCATCTTACTAGTTTGCACTAGCCAGAACTCCCTCAATGTGACAAAATCAAACAACTCATTGAATCCAGTCATTCACTATAGGACAGGACTTTACATGGTATACATAGAATAATATTGCATAAGTCCCTGTTTCCATTGTCCTGCAATGTCTAAATTTTGTGATAATCATGTATTTACTGAAATTTCATGTTATGCAGTCTAAAAATATATTCAATTTTAGTATTGTTCATTATTTTTTCGAAACTATGAAAATGCACTTTGATGTTCATCATTTAAAATAACAAGATAATGGAAAGGGGCACTTGGGTGGCTCAGTTCTTTAAGTGGCCATCTCTTGATTTCAGCTTAGGTTATGACCTCCGGGTCCTGTGATTGAGCCCCATTTGGGTTCCGGGCTAAGTGCAGATTCTGCTTGAGGATTCTTTCTCTCTCTCCCTCTGCCCCTCCCCCTGCTCTCGCATGTCGTCTCTCACTCTCTCTCTCTCTGTAAAATAAATAAATAAATTTTTACAAAAATAACAAGAAAATGGGAAAAGGACAGTCTTTTCAAAGACTGAAAAAAAAAGATGACTGGAAACTGGATATCCATATACAAAAGAGTGAAGTTGGACCTTAATTACAACATACACAAAAACTAATTCAAAATGGATCAAAGACCTAACCATAGACCTAAAACTATAAAACTATTAGAAGAAAACATATAGACTTTGGATTTGGCAATGATTTTTTTTGGATATGACATCAAAGCACAGACAGCAACATAAATAAATTGACCTTCATTAAACTTAAAGAATTTTGCACATCAAAAGATATTATCAAGAGAATGAAAAGACAGTTCACTGAATGGGGGAAAATATTTGCAAAGCATATATCTGATAAAGGATTAATACCCAGAATATGTAATGAATTCCCACAACTCAACAACAACAAATGGAATTCAAAAATGGGCAAAGGACTTGGATATGTCTCTAAAGAAAATATATAAGTTGAACAATAAGCACAAGAAATGATGAATAACATCACAAGCCATTGGGAAAAATGTAAATCAAAACCAAAATGAGATATCACTTCGGACTCATTAGGGATGGCTATTATATAAAAAAACCACAAACAAACAAAACTCCCCAGAAAATACCACGATTTTGTGAGGATATGGGAAAACAGGAATCCTTGTGCATTGCTGTTGAAAACAATTTGGCAATTCCTTGGAAAGCTAAATATAGAGTTACCACATAATATAGCAATTCCACTTCTAGGTATATGCCAAAAGAATTGAAAGCAGAGACTCAAACAGATACTTGTACACCAATGTTCATGGCAGCATTCACAATAGCTGAAAGATGGAAATAATTCAAATGCCCATCAACTGACTGATAAACAAAATGTGGTATATTTATACAATGGAGTATTATTGAGCCTTAAAAAGAAATTCTTTTTTAAAAAAATTTTATTTATTTATTCATGAGAGACAGAGAGAGAGAAAGTCAGAGACATAAGCAGAGGGATAAGCAGGCTCCTTCTGGGGAGCCTGATGCGTGACTCAATCCCAGGACCCCTCAACCACTGAGCCACCCAGGTGCCCCAAAAAGAAGTTCTGATACATGTTACAACATGGGTTTGCTTATACTGGACCCCTCATGATATTTGGTTATAAGAATTTGAGCACAGAATCCTTGTGGCAAGCAAGGAGGATCAAACAGAAATGGACAACACAGAGTCTGTGGGAATAGGCCATTGCCTAACTTTGTTTTGGTTCATTGTTTATGTGTGTCTTTCTCTGTGTATTTGCAGTAGGTGAGCAGAGACTGTCATAGGGTAAAAGAGTCGGATTCTCACATCCTGTTTAATGAGGTGGATGTTAAAGAGTGAGAAACTGCACAAAAAAAACCCAAAATATCTGGAAATTTTGCTGGGGAATAAGGGGATTGGACTAAAATGTTTTCTGGAGTCCCTCCTGGCTGAGGGTGTTTCCAGCTTCTGCAAGCATCATCTGCAAAAAAAGGAGCAGAAAAGTGCGTGGTCTAAATTCCCACAGGCCAGGTTAGGGAGATAGAGCATATGCAAAGCCTAGGGCTGAGCACAGGTCCTGAGGGCTGAGTCGGCAAAGCTAACAAAAGGATTTCCTTTTTGAAGTGGCTTTTCTTCACACTTCAGGCAGTGCATGGGATACTGGAGGGCTAAAATATGGAAGCAAATTTTGGGTAGAACCTGGGAGCTAAATTTTACTGTTTTGTCTGTTAGAATTAAAATGATTTTTTTGGAGGGGGGAGTCTGGATGGCTCAGTTAAGTATCTGTCTCTTGGTTTCCACTCAGGCCTTAATCTCATGGGTAGTGACGTTGAGTCCATGTCAGGCTCCGTGCTCAGCAGGGTGTCTGCTCAAATAAATAAATAAAATTTTTAAAATTATTTTTTCCCAAGCTTTTTCAAAAACAATTACTTATATTGTCAAAGCCATATGGTTCTCATTATAACAAAGTTGAAAAATACAGAGAAGTAGGAGGACAACCAAAAATTCATTTATTTCCATCACATAGAGACAGCCACTACTAGTATTTTGCAGATTTTGTTCTAATCTTTTCCCCAGGCAAATCGACCCATTTTCATTAACTGTTGTGATCATATTTTATATTAAATGTTGTATCCTGCTTTCTATTGATATTAGAGCATAAGCATTTTCCTGTCATAACCTATGCATAAATGTCAGTTTTATTGGCTATATAATATTCCATTGTATGACTATATTAAAATTTACTTAACCATTGAACCATTAGGTTTTTTCTTAGTATTTTATTATTCTAAGTAATACTAGGATTAGCATAGTTGTACAAAAAATTTGTGTATATCTGTTTTCCTTAGGACACATTCATTCATGCATTATATAAATATTAGTGAAGGCCTAATATGTTGCCAGGTACTATGCTAGGTGTCAAATTTCTGCCTTGGGTGGCATGTTATCATTTACTGAGATAGGAAACACTGGAGGAAGAGCAAATTTAAGAGAAAATATGGTGTGTTCAGCTTTGGATGTGTTGAATTTGAAATGTCTGCAAGACATCCAAATGGAGATGTCAAGAACACAGAGTTCAGTGAAGAGTTCTGGATAGAGCTATAAAATCATAGCTGTGGTCATATAGATGGTAATTAAAGCCAAGTGAGTGAAAGAGATCATTTAGCGAGACAATATATGCAGCCTAGCTCTGAGCATGTCTATCAGAGGTTAGATAGCAGAAGTAGAATCTACAAAATGCTAAAAAAAAAAAGAATCTACAAAATGCTTCAGAGGAGAGGGCAAAAGGGTAGGAGGAAAAGCAAGGCTATGGAATTACAAATGTCATAGGAAGACTTTCAAGTAGGAGGAAATAGTTAATAGTGCTAAATGTAGGGAAGATGTCAAGCAAGATAATAATTAAAAATATCCCATTTATTTATTTATGCATTTATTTTTAGAAGATTTTATTTTTTATTCATGAGAGACACAGAACAAGTGGCAGAGACATAAGCAGAGGGAGGAGGAGGCTCCCTGCGGGGAGCTGGATGTGGGACTTGATCCCAGGATCCTGGGATCACTACCTAAGCCAAAGGCAGACACTCAAACACTGAGCCTACCCAGGCATCCCTCCACTTTATTTTTTATTTATTTACATAGATTTATTGACATGGGGGTCATTCATTGGTTGGGTATTTTGTTGAGCTCAATTTCAGTAGAGTGTTGGAGAAGGATGCCAAGTTGGTAGGTGAGAAGAAGAGAATAGAGATTGCAAATGTACCTGCAAAGTACATTTTCAATCAATTTGCCCATAAAGAGGAGCTGGAGAAGTATCTAGTTTGTAGGGAGGACTTTTTTTTTTTTATGATGGTAGACTTGGGATGTTTAATTGAGCATGGTTAATGGCTGATGAGAAGGCAAGGCGGGGGACAGGAATCTACAATTACTGGGTAGATATAAATATTCTAAAGTCTAATGATGTATATTGCCCACATGCCTTCTAAAAGGGTTTTTAATCAACACACTCTCCCACCAGCAATTATGAAAGAACTTTGTTTTTGGTAGCTACTTTGTAATTAAATGTGATAAAAACAAACAAATACTTTGCCAAAGAGTCTCGTTATTGTTCTAATCTGCTCTTATTTGATTACTAGTGAGTTGAATGTTTTAAACATTTGTGTCTGTGTGTATGTGTGAATTTTAGTTTAGGTCCTTTGTCTCAAACATTCCTATTTTAGACGCTTTTATTTGCCGCTGTTATTGGCCTGAAAGTTAAAGGATCCGAATGGTATCGTATTTTATCTTCCCAAATCATATGGTCTAGAGTCTTCATCTTCTTATAAGGACACGACAGTTTGACAACTTTTGGCTCAGCTAAGCGGAAGAGGCAGGAGATTTATCATCTGAGTGGCCACAGATGGAAGTGAAAAGGGGGCCACGTCCAGGTTTAGACCCCAATCCTCGGCCCTTAAGCTTCTTTTCCTAACCCAGGAGAGTATCCCTCTAGTGACTTAAAAGTCTTTGGCTCTCAGAGTACACTTTGGGTGGCGCAGCCCCCTACTAAAGGGCCCAGAGAGCTGTGCGGCCCCTTTAAGAGTCCAGCTCCTCCCCGCTCCAGGGAAAGTTGCAGCTTTTTCCGCCTACCGGGAGGGTGAGTAGGGCCGGCCGCCAGAGCAGGATTGCAGTCTTCCAGGACCCGGAGACCCTCCGTTGAATCCGGCACTGGGACGTCTTACCCTTTCGTGGCACCTGTTGCAGGTGACAGGTACGTCTGCGGCCGGGGGCCGCCCCTTCGCCCTGGGACCCGGGCTCCTCCCGGGCCCCTCCCTGCTTCTCTCTGCCTAAGCGCCCCCCCACCCCTATCTCAGGGATCTGCGCCCTTCCCTGCCCCCGCCCCCCGTCTGTGATCTCCCAATCTTTCCTTCTCCCTGGCTGACCGCCTGTCCCGTCTCCCTTGTCTGCCTCCCTGGACCGCACCCCCCACGCTTTGACTCCTGTCTGCTTGGGGCGGCCCCTCCCCGCCAGTTTGCGTTCCCTCGGGCCTCTTCTGGCCCCTTCCCTGGCCCACCGGTCGCTAACGGAGGCTGTACCCGTTGGGGCTCTGCCTCCTCCGGGTCTCGCCTCAAGCAGAGTTGCTCGGCTTTTCCCGCCAGCCCCGGCTGGAGCCCCTCCCGAGCCGGCCCTGGGGGCGGGTGGGGCCGAGCTCCCAGCGGGAACTGCACCCTCGGAGACCTCGAGTCACCTTTTCGGTGGTTCCTCTCTCAGCGCTTGGCCATCGCGCCGGGTCTCGGTCTCGCCCTGCTTCCGGACCTCGGACCTCGCGGCGTCAGCTTCTCTGGCCTCTGTAGGTCCGCCAAAGGTAAAGGCTGGAGGCAGGTTGGCTGTGAGTCTTGCCTCAGTGGGCTCCCCCTGAGCTTGGGGCAGGGGACCCAGCTGTGTGCTCTGGAGTTGAACTGCTTCTTGCCACCCTTGGAGCAGGCGTTGGAGGTTTGCTCCTGGAAGAGGGTCCCCAGGGCCCTCAGAAGGGGCACAGAATGCTCTTATCCCCTGTGATGGTTTGTAGAGGGCCAGGAAACCTGTTCCTCCAGCCCCCAAAGTTGAATGAGATAGTTAGGAGTTTTTTGGCCGTGAAATCATTTGGTTAGAATTCTGGTGAAGGAAAAGGTGATCTGTTTTTCATTAACCAATATTTTCTTCCCCCACTAAGTACCCTGCTCCTTTAGGACCAGAGGACCTAGCATTCCAGAATATTGATTTTGGCAGAGTTGACCCTAGACCTTGTACAGTTGTGACAGAAATTAATCGTCACTGCCTCCTGGACCTCTTATTTTTAACTGGCTTCTTTTCTGTTCTTTCAGCTCCCTACTCCCACTCATCATAAACCCATTAATATTAAGGTGTTAATGACCTAATGTGTTTACCCCACTGGGCTGTGGAGAGAACAATGCAAGGAATTGAGGCCCTGATGAATTTTTTTTGTTGCAGTTCTAGGGTTTTTTTTTCATCTGTTTTGTTTTTTTACATGTTTGTTTGTTTTTAGCACGTGCTAGAATCCAAGTAGAAAAAGACCACCAACTTGGCTTGTGAGACTTCTCCTGGCAGGGGATGAACATTTCTGCTAACACAATTTTAGGTGCCTCACTTTAGGTCAGAGTGGTGAAATGGACCTTGGAGGCCTATTCTGCGATAATTGGTCAGTGAGTCAATGTGGCATTCTGCTTGATGCTCTTGGAGCTCTTCCCCCTTAATGCTACTAATAATGGTTGTTAGGCTCTATTGAGCCATGTACTCTGATAAGTTCTTTACACACTTATCTCATATTATCCTCATAGTAACTCTGTGTGGCAGACACTACAGTTATAACCATGTTATGATGGAAAGGAAAATCAGAGATTTAGGTGCCTTGCCCCAAATCACCAAACTGGGCCATGTGGCTGCAGAGCTTGTGTTCCTATCCCCTGTCCCCACCGCTTCTGCTGTCTGAGATTTTAGGAACACTAAATAGCTCACAAGTAAGGACTCAATGATTGAAACTTGCCCTTCCAAGCTGAAACCTGAGTTTTGGTCCCTGACTCCATTTCAGATGTGCTGCGGAGACTTTGGCCCACTTCTCTCACTGATAATCTGACCCTCCTTCACCACTTCACTTCTAACAGGGGACCACTTGCCACTTTATTACTATAAGGACACAGCCCTGAATGTACCTGGCTGAATGAAGCCTCTGGGGCTCTTAGCTCAGTAGGGATTGTCCTGAAATGAGGAGAGGGTTACTACCCTCTGGATTCTAGGGATGTGCGTCTGACTCAACTTCTGCCTTTCCTGCTGGCTAGGGAAGAAATGAGGGTGTGGTAAGTGATAAGGATTTCCCAACAGTCAGCCCAGAGAGCCTGAGGGTGAGTGTGTGCTTGTTTTATCGTGCGGTGGACAGAGTACTGGAGGCAGGGACCATACTGAAGAAAAAATAGCCTCACTGATTCCATCTCTGGACCTTTGCTCAAATGGCTTCTTTTTCCAGAAAAGCTAACTTGCCACCCATACCTACTCTCCTGCTGTGAGCTCCTACTCATCTCTCAAGATCTAGCTCTAAGGTCCTCTCCTTTGGGACAGCCTTACTGGACATACAATTACTTTCCCTGGAACTGGATTACCAGTTACCCTGTCCTAAATCACTTTGTTTATACCTCAGGAAAGCCCTTCACATCCTTCTTTGTTGTTTTTCCACCTGGAAGGTCATTAACCTCTTTAAGGGCAAGGTCTGGCTCTTTGGAGCTCTTTCTCTTAAGTACAAGAGATAAACAAGGATTCGTGCTAGGCTGGGGATACCAGGCCTTTAAGGCCCAAGCTTTGATGATGGTGGAACTGGAGCACACAACAAAACAACTTCCTGAGGCACTTGAAATCCGACCTGACCTTCCGGAGTTTGTACTTAAATACAAACTTCAGTGAGGCCTTCCCAAACCATGCTATTGAAACTTAAAACTCCATCCCTGAACATTCTATATAACCCTTCCCTACCTATTACTTGAATATAACACATTTTTTTTCATTTTTCTTTCTTTTTTCTTGTCCCTCCTCCCTCCAGAATGTAAGCTCCCTGTGGGCAGGGATTTCTGTTTTATTTACTAGTAGACCCCAGCACCCATAACCGAGCCTGGCACATCATAGATGCTTAACTCATATTTGTTAAATGAATTAATGAATGACATTGCCATTCTAGGAACTGGCGGTTTTTTGTGCTCTCCTGGACCTTATTTTATTTTTTTTAATAAATTTATTTTTTATTGGTGTTCAATTTACCAACATACAGAATAACACCCAGTGCTCATCCTGTCAAGTGCCCCCCCACCAGTGCCCGTCACCCATTCACCCCCACCCACCTGCCCTCCTCCCCTTCTACCACCCCTAGTTCATTTCCCAGAGTTAGGAGTCTTTATGTTCTGTCTCCCTTTCTGATATTTCCCACACATTTCTTCTCCCTTCCCTTATATTCCCTTCCACTAATATTTATATTCCCCAAATGAATGAGAACATATAATGTTTGTCCTTCTCCGATTGACTTATTTCACTCAGCATCATACCCTCCAGTTCCATCCACGTTGAAGCAAATGGTGGGTATTTGTCATTTCTAATGGCTGAGTAATATTCCATTTTATACATAAAACACATCTTCTTTATCCATTCTTCTTTCGATGGACACCGAGGCTCCTTCCACAGTTTGGCTATTGTGGACATGGCTGCTAGAAACATCGGGGTGCAGGTGTCCCGGCATTTCATTGCATCTGCATCTTTGGGGTAAATCCCCAGCAGTGCAATTGCTGGGTCGTAGGACAGGTCTATTTTTAACTCTTTGAGGAACCTCCACACAGTTTTCCAGAGTGGCTGCACCAGTTCACATTCCCACCAACAGTGTAAGAGGGTTCCCTTTTCTCCGCATCCTCTCCAACATTTGTTGTTTCCTGCCTTGTTAATTTCCCCCATTCTCACTGGTGTGAGGTGGTATCTCATTGTGGTTTTGATTTGTATTTCCCTGATGGTAAGTGATGCAGAGCATTTTCTCATGTGCATGTTGGCCATGTCTATGTCTTCCTCTGTGAGATTTCTGTTCATGTCTTTTGCCCATTTCATTATTGGATTGTTTGTTTCTTGGCTGTTGAGTTTAATAAGTTCTTTATAGACCTTGGAAACTAGCCCTTTATCTGATAGGTCATTTGCAAATATCTTCTCCCATTCTGTAGGTTGTCTTTTAGTTTTGTTGATTGTATCCTTTGCTGGGCAAAAGCTTCTTATCTTGATGAAGTCCCAATAGTTCATTTTTGCTTTTGTTTCTCTTGCCTTCGTGGATGTATCTTGCAAGAAGTTTCAGTGGCCGAGTTCAAGATGGGTGTTGCCTGTGTTCTCCTCTAGGATTTTGATGGAATCTTGTCTCACATTTAGATCTTTCATCCATTTTGAGTTTATCTTTGTGTATGGTGCAAGAGAGTGGTCTAGTTTCATTCTTCTGCCTGTGGATGTCCCATTTTCCCAGCACCATTTATTGAAGAGACTGTCTTTCTTCCAGTGGATAGTCTTTCCTCCTTTATGGAATATTAGTTGACCATAAAGTTGAGGGTCCACTTCTGGATTCTCTATTCTGTTCCATTGATCTATGTGTCTGTTTTTGTGCCAATACCACCCTGTCTTGATGACCACAGCTTTGTAGTACAACCTGAAATCTGGCATTGTGATGCCCCCAGATATGGTTTTCTTTTTTAAAATTCCCCTGGCTATTCGGGGTCTTTTCTGATTCCACACAAATCTTAAAATAATTTGTTCTAACTCTCTGAAGAAAGTCCATGGTATTTTGATAGGGATTGCATTAAACGTGTAAATTGCCTGGATAACATTGACATTTTCACAATATTAATTCTTCCAATCCATGAGCATGGAATATTTTTCCATCTCTTTGTGTCTTCCTCAATTTCTTTCAGAAGTGTTCTATAGTTTTTAGGGTATAGATCCTTTACCTCTTTGGTTAGGTTTATTCCTAGGTATCTTATGGTTTTGGGTGTAATTGTAAATGGGATTGACTTCTTAATTTCTCTTTCTTCAGTCTCATTGTTAGTGTATAGAAATGCCATTGATTTCTGGGCATTGATTTTGTATCCTGCCATGCTACCAAATTGCTGCATGAATTCTAGCAATCTTGGGATGGAGGCTTTTGGGTTTTCTAAGTAGAGTATTATGTCATCGGGGAAGAGGGAGAGTTTGACTTCTTCTTTGCCAATTTGAATGCCTTTAATGTCTTTTTGTTGTCTGATTGCTGAGGCTAGGACTTCCAGTACTATGTTGAATAGCAGTGGTGAGAGTGGACATCCCTGTCTTGTTCCTGATCTTAGGGGAAAGGCTCCCGGTGCTTCCCCATTGAGAATGATATTTGCTGTGGGTTTTTCGTAGATGGCTTTTAAGATGTTGAGGAATGTTCCCTCTATCCCTACACTCTGAAGAGTTTTGATCAGGAATGGATGCTGTATTTTGTCAAATGCTTTCTCTGCATCTAATGAGAGGATCATATGGTTCTTGGTTTCTCCCGGACCTTAAACAGCCCCTTGTCTGTCACCCTACAGCTGTAAGTTTGCCCCAAGGCTTGGGTCCCACACGGCTTTCCTTCTGCTAAGTTTTGCTTTGAGGCTGCATTCCTGATGACAACTTTGACCTAGTTGGAAGTACTTCTCTCTTTTTTGAAGGCATGAGTCTCTGGATGGAAACTTCTAAACTAAGCATGTAAAGAGTCTGTGCTCTTTGTTGGTTGGAAGGGAGACTATCACTGAGAGGAGAGGATGTGGATTGTCAGATGTCTTGAGGCCTTTCAGACATTTGGTG